GTATTGCCTGCAACTGTTTAGGGTCCTGGCAATTCACAAATGAAATGTTTTCTATTGCATGCAAAGCAGAGCACTCAATGTGTGCTCCAAGTAACTACCTTTGCTTTGACGGCAATGTTCACGATGGCAGAGGCAATGAGCGGCAGCTGCACAGTTGACTCAGGATGCCTTGCCCCATTTTGAGTTGTTTGCTGCTGGACTGCATCTCTATCCGCCCCTCCCTCAAATCTGCCACTAGTACCCGCCTTCTGTGGTTCCCCTTGTGCAACGCAATCGGCTGCAGAGCCCCTGGGGCTGCTTTCTGTGTCAGCGGCATGCTCACTGTGGGGCCCATGATCACCGTTGGCACCACAGGATTCATCCCACTGTACCACGCCGTTTCCCACAGCATCCACCAAGGGCAACAGCCATGCAATGCCATACTGCAAGGGAAGCAAAGCATGAATCAGGATATTAGGCTGCAAAAGCAAGGAACTGAGGCAGCTCTTGACTTCACACAACATGACCAGGCAGGACATTGATTGGGATGAGAGCAAGGCAGTTCCGGAGTCACAGCGTGTGTGGGCGCACCTGTGTTTGAAGTGGCAATAACTCTCCCAATGCTTGCATTAGGTGTGGATGGAGATCCTTTATGGCAAGTTCCGCAGGTGCGTTCTCTGACAGAAGTGAAGTCATTAGGCACAGGGCAACATTCTCAGCTTGCCCATGCAGAGGTAGAAAGTGTTCACCATCGGCCGAATCCGAGGCCAGAAGCTGCAGTATGGTCTTCAGGAATCGGCAAATGTGCAACAAGAGGGCTGTGGACAGAAAAAAAGCTCTTACCAGGAGACTGGGGCTGAGGTAGTACTGAAATTAAATGGGCGGCCTCAGCTGTCACTTGTGCAGACACAATGTTTGTGTTTATAAAACCACATCATGCTGCTGGTCAGACTTTACAAAATGCAACAAGTCCTTAGTCCAGTCCCGCGTCCATTCGTTAGCCCACCTTTGGTAACAGTTGCGTTTCTGAAAATCCTCGATTGTCCTGCTTCGCACATTGCCGTCAATGCCAAGACACAAACATCACAGATCTTTGCCAGAGTTTGTTGTCCATCACTACTCCCTGTGCTGATCATTCCCAAGAGTGCTGCATCTCCAACGAATGCCAGCAGCTGAGTGGCATGCTTGAGTGCCAGAATGACTGGGACTGTGACTGCCCTTCCCAGAGGCTCCTCCTGGTTCTTGACCCTCTTCGACTGGTGTGAGGTCGATTCCTGGAGGTTATTAATGCACAGCACACTTTAGGCTGGGCTGCCTGCATTGATGTCAATGCTTTGACCAACTGGACATGATACAGCCACACTTTGCGATGGCACACTTCCTTTAGGAGGTATTTCTTTGTTTAATATTCTTGTAAGAACTCGATTAGCATTCCTACTGGCATATGTTGACAAGCTGGAGGTCACATGGGCTATACTTCCTGCAGCACCATTCAGCCAAGGCTTTGGCCGTGCACGGCACTCTGCCAGGCTGCATGGCTTTCATCACAGCCAGCACAGGCGAGTTTTAGGGCAACGCTATGATTTGTGAGTGTCATTCTACAGGTCATTGCCATAGTATATACTGTATATTCGTATGTGCAAAAGGACCATCCTGCAAATACCTGCCTTTCTGCACCAACTCCTACAAACCCACAAAGCCAGCGGCTTTGCAGCAAATTTCCATGGATAAACAGCTTGTGCAGCCCTGCAATACGATTGGAGACTGCATCGATATATCTGCAGCGGAAACAGGAAGATTGTGCCAAGTACAGCCAGACTTATGGCTGTCATCTTCAACCAAAGGCTCAACTAAAAAGGACACGAGGATATCTTTCCCAGCACTGACTGCCAAGCTGCGCACAATCTTCAAGCCAAATTATTGTAGAGGCAAGGGTGGAACCGAAGCAGAAAACAGCATATGATGAGATAGCACATTTTGTACTGTGAGAACCACCCTGTCACCAAAGTCCTTTCAAAGATTGCTATTGTTGAGCCATCAATTGAGACATATTCCTGAGGCTCCTAAGTGTCATCGTTACCTTGCAAGTGAAAGGGCGGTGCTTTGTCATTTACACAACCATGAACAAACTAAACAATACACATCAATCCATGATCGAGCTCATTTCCCACAGCTGGGATCTGGTGTCAGCAGCATAGTGGTAGCCATTATCACTGCAGAGTTGACAGACAGCATTGAGTGCATCGCCTGCAGTATTGACGTCCCCTTCACATTGGGTTACTCAATTCAGAAAACCAGTGCACATTGTCCACTGTTTTCAGGCCGCTGACAGAACAGAGGGCTTGACTGCAAACCGTTGGGGCAGTGGGCAATATCGCAATACAAATGTCTGTTACGTTTGTTCAATGGTTGACGTTGAAAAGTTGCACAAAGTGAGCACCTGTGAGCCAACCATTCCTCTCGCACCTCTTCTCCTTCACTGCAAGCACCTTGGCACCAAGTGGTGGCTGACTCCAACAGAAGAGCGAGCTCCTGCGCCATGAGACCCACTGTGCTATGCACTGCTTGGATACCTCCAGCGGAGTTTGCATTGGGAAGTGCCTTCTCCGCTGTTGAGCATCCCCCTGTGTTCAGCTGCTGGTTGTTCTCTGACACAATCCACTTGGTGGAGGCATGCATAGCCACTCTGCAGAAAGCCCCAACGGCATCGAATGCAGATTTGTGAGTTGAAGCAGAAATATTTGACGTTTCAGTGAGCTGGGTCCTTGCATTCCTGATGGATGACACTGCCTGAGATTGCAGCAGCGGAAGAACCTCTTGAACGAAGTCTCCATCCATGACCTGGCACCGCATTGGCGCATTTCTTGCCATGCTATTGATGCACCTGCCGTGTTGCACACATGTCTCAGACCGCACTCGACATGATACTGCAGATTCTGGCCCTGCTTGCTCTTGCCGGCAACTATTGTGGATGTGCTTAGTTCAAAGTGCCAGGTTTCGATTTTGTCCATGTGACTGTGGACAAAATTCAGAGCATTGCATGGCAGGTGCTCCAGGCAGAGAAGCTGATAAACATTTGTCTTGGCATGTTTGCATACTACTTGTGCACAAGAAACCTGGGCATCCGACAACGACGAGAATCTGAAAATGGAGAAGAACGGCAGGCACCAAGCACAACACAAGGCCGAGGTCAACCAATTTCAGGCGATTGCAGACACTAAGGAAGAGTGCCATTCCACAGCGATTGATGTTACCCAAAGTGGGAATGCTCGGTGACTTCCACACTGCCAATCAAATGCGAAGTATACATAGCAGTCCCCCAATGGTAGACAAGGCAAAGAGGCCATCTTCAACCAGGCAACAATGCTGCAACTCTTTAAGCTGTTGTCGGCAAACAGGCATGCTGTTGGAAACAAAGAAACACCACAAAGAATGGTGGCAGTTTGCAACCCTACCGAGTGGCTTGGGCACACGTCATTGCACTGCTGGCTGGCATGTCAGCACAGCTTTCTGTTGCACACAGAGCTGCAGTGAGCAGGAGGCAGGGACACTGATAATCTCTCAAACATTGTACTTGTTGAAGGCAAAAGCCATGCTGGAAAGCTTCAGTCTATATCGCACAATGCACCCCAGATTTTGCACAATGCAGGAGATGTTCACAGAGTAGACAACCACCTCCAGACAATGGTTCAATGTTCTGTGGAGTGTAGGCAGTGAGTCACTTGCCCCACTCCTGCACTCTCCAGATTTTCGTGTCGATTGGGATGATTAGTGAAATCCGTGCAGTCTGCCTCCTGGCAAAATTGCAAATCCAGAGTTCGGCCAGCTTAAGGAAGCACCGCTCAGGTCCAGGATAAATCGCACCCAGACAAACGGCACAGCAGCAAGGACGACAGTAACACTACACATCTTTGCCAAGCACAGTGACCAGCCCACTCCACTGCTCTCTCAAGGTGCAGCAAAAAACAATGGGAACAGGCCTCACCAGTGCTCAGTGAAGTCAGCAACATTCCCATGATGTCAGCATTCCGAGGCCCAGCACACACACACTCAAGGGCAGCACACAGTTCCTCTCCTTCAAGCGAGGTGTGTGCAGGATCGCTGCCCCCAGTCACCATCTCAAAGCAATGGAAGCACATTTCTTCACATCCTGGAGCCATGGGCAGGGTACTGGCAATGGACATGACAGCACACCTGTGCAGCTAAACCAGACGTCATGCCTCCATTTTGAAGCTTATTAGCCTGGAATCACTTTTCATTGAACTGGCAGAGTTGGTGCTGAGCAGCACAGCCAAAAAGGGCAGTGTTGATGACAATGCATCTGTGGACATGTATCAGTGTGTCGTGGGGGCAATTGTGACTTGGTAGTTGGGAAGAAGAACAGCCAAGCACAGGGCGTCTGGTGGGCCAACGTGGCATGCTGCTGATGCCCATGTTCTGATGAGAGCATTGGGGCAAGGATCAGGTTGCCATGCTGCCAATGGTTCCTGGTTTCTTTCGAGCACTGCAAGCACCATATGAGGGCAGTATTCACAGAAACAGACAATTTGTTTCAGATCAATCTGTTTGATAGTTGTGCTGCCACACGAGTTCCACAAGTGCAAGCCTCTGTCAGGCTGGTGTTGGTGCAGGGTGAGAGGACAGAAACCCAATCCAGACCCGGCTGCCTGCGTGCAAGGGCATCATACAATACAATCACATGCCGCTTCATCCATGCCTTAGTGGTGGTGTACGACAGCAATCACAATACCTGGCCTTGGCCGTTGGTGCTTTCTCCATCAACTCCAGAAGCGTTCCACAAGGCCACAGCAGCATAGCCTCTTCTTCTTCACCTGGAGTTGATGCACAAATCCACTGAGTTCACCAATTACCAAGATTGGCACTGAGGATCACCAGCCCTCCTATGACAAGTGCCAACTCATCAGGTTTGAAAACAAAATAAGAACATACTCTGTGCAGTTTGGACAACGCACAGAGGGGGTGTGTTCAATCTGAATTGATTTCGGATCCAAACAAAAGCTGCTATGAAGCACAGACAACCATCCTTGAGCCAGTGTCTGGTCTACACATTGAGAGTTGGCTACAACACTCAGATCTAGCTGTCTTGAAGATCTTGTCTCTTTAGGTTGTTGGAAGGTGCTCAGGGCGCATAAACTCACATAGTCCATTTTCTCGCATAGCTGCAACACCATCACACAAGACAGCCAGTCCGCAGATCAGCGCCTCCCAGGCCTCAACACTCTCTGAAGACTCGGCCTACAAGGCATCCGCATGCCACATCAGCTTCATGTTCATCTTACTGCAAGGGTTGCAAGGAGCAATGGCTGCAGTTACATAAGGGCACATGCTCCCTCTTGCACCACCAACATTTCCACAAACTCATGCTGTGAATATGCTCGATTTATGCGTGGTGGCCAATGAAAGCGACTCCTGACCTTTTTCTCAGAACAGATAAGATCTTCATCCTTGACTGCCATTGCACTCCGTAAATCAATGAAACAGCAAGCATGTTATGCTGTCATTAAAGTCTGGCCACAGCCTCTTCTCTTGGTGCATCATATGTGGCCAGTGTTCATGCAGTACACCTAACAACAGCTGCCTTCTTCAACACCAGCTATGCGTTAATTTAAGACATTGAGGGCGTCTGTGGAGCAGCTGCCTTGATGCAGCTTTTTGCTTGGCCATGTGTCTGGTATGTCTTCTGACAATGCCATATGCTTAATTCAGCAATGGCACACGTGCGAAGGGGTGCAAAATTTGCACATGCATCCGGTTTCTGCAGATGTCCGGCAGATGTCCACAGTGTGCAGTATTCATACCAAAAGTGATACGCGATCAGAGGTCCTTGTCTTACAAGAAGCAACTGCAACCTATTTGTCCTTGCAAATGTGCCCAATGGACCCAATGAGTTAGTACCAGGTACCCATCAGCATGCAATATAGAATCTGCATTCATGCATTGATGAGATCTCGTCATGCATTTCTTCCTCAGGTGGGTAACATGATGGTGTTTCTGTGTTCTCAAAGAATCTGCCCTACCAACCCACCATTTGCTAATCGCCTTGGCAAATACATTGCAACACAGTGTTGATGTGGATGTCCTGGAAGTACTGCAAATGACTGAAATTTTGGCCATTTTAGACAGTTCGGAAGCAATTTGACACATCACAGCTGCGTTTGGAGCCTGCCTGTATAGTATACGTTCATGCATTATTCACAACAACTCGTACTTGTGTCGCATGTGCCTTCCTCTTGGTTTGCCCTGTTCCTCTCTTTCGTCCATGACTGCTTCTATTTTCTTGACAAAAGGTGGCAAGGTGTGAAGTCAGTCACAGAGGCCGCCAGTGCACTTGTCAAGAGGTATCATCGTCTATCACATTATCTACCAAGATCTGTGGCAAATTGGTCTGTCGTCTAGTTGCATGTACAGATTGACTGCATACATGAGCAAGACACAAGATCATGCTGCAGCAAAAGCACTGTGGCAGACAAATTGGCCTTCAGCACCTTGTGGGTGAATTGACAGCTGACTTTACTTGCGGGAACACAATTAAGGAACAACACAAGGGTGGACACCCACTTTGCAACAGGGGACAATCAGGTAACAAAGTACCAAAAAATAAGTAACAAACTATATGTTGCGTCATCCAGACACTTGCGCCTTTTGGCTGAATGTTGTAGACTGTCCCTGCAACCACCTGTGGCTTCTGACATGACACAGGGTGTTGATGCTAGGAGGTGGTCCCTGAAGGATTCAGTGAGGTCTAGCAGCTCATCTGGTGGAAGGCTCTGCAGCTGGTTTTTGTTCTCCATGGCTGTGCATCAACAATGCCCAAATCAGCAATATTGAATACAGAATGTTTGTGCATATATTGCCAGGACTGGAGGCTGCATCTTCAAATACCCAGGGCTGTGAAAGCCATCTTACACGACGAAAAGTTTCCATGTGTAAAAAAGTGCAAATAAACTAGTTTCATTCAACACTTGCGCTTGCTGTCGCAATTGCAGATGAACCACAATGTCACTTCAGGGGCAAATGACAGTTGGAATGATTGTGCAATCCCCTCTAGTTGGCTGGACGTAGGTTGTTGCCATGCAGACACTGTCACAGGTTTAAGTATTCCCCAGAATCTGTCCAGCCCCACAGCATTGCGGCTTTTTCACCAAATGCCAGAAAACAGGCAGTGGTGTTCTGGAAATCCATTGTCAAATTCGTTCAGTGTTCAGCAAATTTCCTTACTGAGCCAAAGCTGAATGAATCAGGTTCTCATAGTCTTCAAATATCACACAATAACCTTCCAACTAGGGCATTTCTCTCGATTGGTTAGGCACATGAACACACTGTCATTCGCCAGATGGCAATTATGTTGTATTTAAGTCAATTCTGCATCCAGCCCCGCAGATGAACATGCATGCGCTCATGCCTGGTGTAAGACTTACCTGTCAATCGCTGTTCACATTTTCGAGAGACAGGTGCCAACGCTTTGCAAAAGCGGAGGCCCGCTGATGGTGACCGTCTCAGCAGCATCGCAACGATGCCCTGCAGCGTCAATACACAGGCAGTCAGTAATTCCAGCAGGGAGTGCTCACACCAACGTGCATCAACTAGCCAGGTCAATCCTGTTGAGAGGGGACAATAGCAGTGCCAACAAGTTATGTCTGTGTAACTGTGGCTTACCGGGCCCTGCTGCAAGTCTGGAAACAAGCTTGGGAGAAGAAGGCTATGAATGCGTTTGGACACCGTCTGTATATCCTTGGCCATCATGTCTATGAGGACATCGACTGAAACAATGTCACTGAAGTGAACCTCCGAAATCGACCTGCGAGCACCAATGTCTCCAGTGTCAGCTAATTTGACAGGCCAGAATTGCAATTTTAGCCATAAAGCAGCAGCACGTCTGTAGAAATTGGCTGTCTTGCTTCTTAATGCAGGCACATCGGTTGGAAGGCACAGCCAGAAAAATGGTTTTGAACTCTCACATTATGCTCAGCAGCATGTCAACAAATGCCACCCTCACGTCCTTTGAAGGATCGTGCATCAATGGTGCAAGCTGTGGAAGAAGGCCCTGCACACGGCAAGCAGAGCACAACACGATAAGCAGATGTAGAGCCTGCCCCTGTGATGCAGCAAAGGAAACGGTGAACTGCATGTGGCATGCAGATGAGGATTGGCGAGAAAGTGAATTTGCCCTGCTCCACTTTTGAAGACACAATTGCTGAGGTGCAACCACTGATGCCTCAATTTTGCAACAAAGCCATTGGCAACGGACAGGGAAGGCACGGGTATGAAGCACCCATACTTTCAGGAGTGGCCGGGAAAGGGGGTTCTCAATCAGTTTCTTGAGGTTGCGTAGGACAGCTGAACGAACTCCCACAGAAGCACCATCAAACGCAAGTCGACCTGCAAGCATGACAGAGCGTTGTCATCATTTGTATGATTGAAGACGGAACAGGCAACAGATATTGTAGAATGAAAGGAATTGATGCGCTTGTCCCTCACATGGGGCAAATAGATGGGCAAATCAAGTACCTGTCAGAACAAGAACTGTACACCTGCATTCAAAACTTCCTACGCAGCCGAACACCTGCCAGCCACCACACTTGTGTTTTCTGCTACTGCAACACTCCCAAAAAGCAATAGTAAACCTGAAAAGAAAAGGATATGAATACAAATTTACAATAAACACAAATTGCGTATCGAATAGGGCAGAGGGTGGGCAGAGCACCACCTATTCTTGCCACACAATTGAATGCGTTGTCGTCTGAGTGTTCCGCCAGCCCTGGAAGTGGCCACACCACACACCAATGATGCCCTTCAGGTATCCCATTGACACACTGGGTGGTATGAGCTCCCAGAACGAGTCCAGCACTTTGCAAATGCCCTCAACTGCTGCAATACGCACAGCTGGTGCACTGTCCCCCAGGGCACTGCTGAAGTAGCTGAACTGTTTGGCAAGAAGATCGTCGGTATCCTCATGAGAGGCATGGGGATTCTGCAAATGAAGGGCACCGAGGTAAGACACACACACATGGAGAATTGCAGCAAGCGATTGGGGGCCTTAGTCGCCAAACGGTTCCCAATCCCTCAAACTGGGCTGTGGCCACCTTTGGCGCTTCTTGAATCACGTTCATACAGAAAGCAAACATTCAGTAACAATTGACATCACTGGTGTTTGGTTTAAATGACAAAGTACTTTGTCCTGTGCCCTGTCTTGCTCAACAACAATTCTGGAAACTGGCCTTCACTGGATGGCTGGAATGCTATTGCCCATGATCAGCTCCAAGATGAGAAACTTGCTATGTTATGACAAGGTAAAGAAAATGAAGGCCATGTTGCAGCTCTGCGCTAAACAAACACAGCAGCATTCCTATTGTGAGTCTTGAGGACGATTTCCTTGTCAGAATGTCAACAAACCAGAATGAATATGCACCGTCGTGTCGCCCCACCTGTAAAGGAAAAGCATCAAAGAGAAGGAGCAATGCATTTCTTCGGATCGCTGGATTTGCAACTGACAATGCCCGGAAGAGGATTGGCTCATACAGTCGTAGCAGCATCTCATCAACAGCCATGTGCATCTTTTTGTGAGAATGCAAGGCATTCAGCACGTGCCGCAAGTGCGATGCCATCTCCTTTGTAGAGGCAGAAATTGCAGCCTGCATGAGACCCTAGCAACAAACAACACAATAAGTAGAACAGCAGATACAAACGTGATGAAACCCATATGCAGGGACTGCCCCCCGTATTCTCTGTCCACTCCATGATCGATGCTCCCAGGGTCAACGTGCATTACCTGAATGCATGTTTCCTCAATTTCCATCAAGCATGCACCAGTGGCTCCTTTCCAACCACGAAAAATGAGGTCCCCATAGGCTTTCAAGACATTTTTCCGACCAGCTGGAATCTGCACAAAAGGGCAACGTCCATTAGGTCAATCAATTAGTAATGCTTGGCATGCAACCAACACCACATTTGTAGTCGTGGCAAGCAACCACACATTTGCACATCACATACACCGGCTAATACCAGGCTGGCTGCATGCTCGTTTGTAGCAGGAAGGCCAGCTGGCTGGGTCAATGCTCTGGCAAGTTCTGGTAAAATTGTGTAAATGCCAATCCACAATGACAAACACCCCTTCACAAATTCAAGTGTGCAGATACACAGGGAAGGACAACACCTGATTGAATGAAACTTATTTCCAACGCAACACTATTGCCCAGCCCTGATGGGTAGTGACACAGCAGTTCAGAATATTCAACAGTGTGCACCGCAAATCGCAGTAAGCAATCAACATTGCAGAGCATGCCAAATTGAACATGTCACCCACAAGTTGAACTCTTTAAGCACCGCACCGCAGCCTTTGGTTCCCAACAGTGTGTTCCATGCCTGGTTGCGTATAATTGATGTGAGATCCCTGACGAGCTGTGGGTGCAGATCAAATAAGCTAGCCAGGAAGCGCCTCCCTTCAACTCGTTGGACAAAACCCGGATGAAATGCAGCAAACAAGAGCATCTTTTTGAGATCATCGATTGACGGGTCATCGAAGTCAAACAGCAACAGTGAAGCCCGCATGCTGGCACAACGTTTCACATCCACAAGTGCGCCACTGGCCAATGCTTTGCCCTGTGGTGCCAAACAATGGGTTGATCTTCACAAAACTGTGCAGCAGCCTGGCTGTAGCAGGCTTGTCACTGGAAAACAATGCAGTTTAGGAAGGAAGACTGTCTGTATGCACCTGACAGTTGACCGTTCGTCTTTTGGGCAATCAGAATATGTGAGTCGCATGGGCTGCCAAGTGTGAACATCGCACACCCGATAAGGTGCATCCATCAGTCCCTGGTGCCGTTGGAAAGATCCTCTTTTTCATTAAGTGCATCGATTCCTCTGACAGCATGATGCACTCACAAATGCACAAAACTCTGGACTGTGCTCTGACCAACTTGAAATTTAACACAAGAGACAAACTCATTGAAATTGTTGGCAATTCGTTGCTCAAAATGTGGTACATATGGCCCCAGAAAGGGTACAAGAACAACGCCTGAATGAGGTTGTCAGTACCAGAATACATGGCCACGTTTGTGGAATCATCGACTCCCGGCATGGCAGCTCCATCAGCCACCATTTGCAGCAAAGCTTGGAAATAGCCTCTGTGACACTTGGATTCTCACAGAAGAGCTGACCAACACAGGCAATTGCTCAACAATGACCAATCAAATAGCAGTGAACAAGCCAAACACCCCAAAACGCTGGTGCGTGATGCCAGCACAAAACACAACACAGGACTGACCACACATAGAATCATAGTCAGATCATCAAGGCAGCAAGATGGAAATACAGCAAGAAGGAAGACCACTGTGGTAAGCCAGCCCTACAAATAATGCTCCAAATATTCCTGTCCAACAACTGCCCAAAATCAAAGCCAGGAGCGAATGATTATCAGGAATTGCCAAGAAGCTCAACTACAAAATTGAACATTGGCACAGAAGTGAACATTGGCACAGAATTGCATGTACAAGAAAGCTGCAGCAGTCCTCTTTGTTTGCGTTGAACCAGATTCACTGGCAGTTTTGTGGTCAATTTTCCTCTGGCATCCAGCCAAACAGTGCCCTGACATTCGCACCAGCAGCGAGTCGTGCATTTCAGTGACTGTCTCAGCAAGGTCTTTGGATGGTTGCTGCAAGACCTTCTCGATGAGGTGTGATGAAAGAAGGGCAACACCTCGTAGGGCACGTAATGCCACATCCTGCATACTACATTTGTCAACAAAGGTTTGAACAGTCCATGCGGATCAATGCGGTCCATCAAAGTGGATGCAAATGCACATTGGCAGAGAGCAAGAAGTTTGCAGGTAAGGTGAAGCATAGAGATGGAGCAGCCTACAGATTTACAGATTTTGAGAATTGCACACACGAATGGAGAGAAACAAAGAACGGCTGAATGCAGTGGAACTTGCTGGGATTCACTAAGGAACTCCCAGTTCTTTTTGCATGGCTTTTGAGACAGTGTACAAACGATAAGCAAAACTTATTTTTTCTTCCCTTTGCAAGAGGACAATCCCGTACTTTCCAATTGATGCTTGAAAGAATTACAGTCTATGCACTTTAGGCTTTCGCACCTCTTCCATTTCAACACTTTGCAACATTTTTCTTTGCGTTTGTTCAACTCTTAGTATTTAATAGGGGCAGGCTGTGCGAGCCACTCACAAAGTTTGTGGGCTCAAACGTTGTAAGCTTCAAAAGTGCCAGTCATCAATAAGTACAGCCATGTTGTGCGCAGGCAGTGTTGTGTGTGCCAGAGACAAATGCAAACGAAGTAGAATTCCAGGCAAGTGACTGCCTCCAATAGACCACTTGTGGACTTACTTTGTATTCAGCAGGTGTTGGTTCTTCATCCCCTTCTGTAGTGGCCCAAATTGGGATTTCACTGTGGCAAGAGCTTCGAATTGCCAGCCGAGCCTGCAATGCACCACGCAGTTGTTGGAAACCTGTAAAACATTACTATCTTGTGTGACTGCATATGGACAATACTGCGATCCTCGTTCCCAGGACATTTTGAAGGACGAACTCAGAACAAGCTATGTGTTGGGCACAGCATACTTACAATATTTCCTTTGTCACAACAAGGAACATTTTTCCCAGGCATCTATTAAGCGATGTGCACTACACTTGCCACGTGCAACACGAAAGAAGAGAGCACAAAACTGTGTCAGCTGTGCTTTACTTGTTCTTTGCTGTGGCAATTCTACATGCTGACAGAACAACCCCCTTCACAGGTCAAATGCACAGGGCAAAGACGAATCAAGACATAGTCGCAATAGCTTTGGCATTCAAGCTGCTGGTCTGAGGCTCCCAGCAATTCACCAATAACTGCTCTTGGTTAGCAAAAGCAGCCTGTGTTGTCATTTTCAGGCTATGAAACAGCACATATGTTGCACTTCTTTGTGTCACTAAAGTGCAAGATTAAAAGCAAAACGAATACCAACAATCACTTTCGCGAATTTGAAAGATGAGGTTTCCTTGTTTCTACTTGTTTTGGCCAAGGGGTTTGGGGCGTGGGAGGGTGTGGGGGGGAGAGGACAGCAGACAGCATGGCAGTTGTGTTAGATTTGCATATGAAATGCTCCATATTCAGCAAATGCAAGGAAGACATATATATCCAACAGCACAAGCAGTGAGCAACCATATTGAAAGCTAACTACCCAACACGCTACACATGCAACACCTCCGCCAGTGAAGCGTCCTCTTTGCCTGTTTTCTTATTTGTGAGGCAAGGACAGGTATCCCATTCCAGCGCATTTCCAGGTAGTACAGAAGCCAAACTGGAGAAATTGACAGGTTTTTGTGTAGCTGTTTGGGTCTTAAATAAGATCTGAAATAATGCTGTCCAACATCATGAAGCAAAGCTCCAACAATATCAAGGGCTGTACACATGCCTGACAAGAGCATCACCCCAAACAAAATCGCAGTCCTGGGGGCAAAAACTCCTCTCTCCTTCCGTGAGACAGACCCTTGAATTTGTCGTTGCAATCAAATGCAGACGCGGAAATTGGAACAATCGTTTCGCAGATGTACCATGGGGCGGCAAAGCACTGCATGATGTTCCGTCATGAAATAGTCTACAACAGGAACGGAATCCAACAGGCATGCAATTCGCTTACTTGCGTCTTTAGGCCTTGAAACAGGCGTCCGTGAAGCGAAATGGGCAGCGTTGCGACGACCTCGTCCAAATTGACTTCGTCTTTTCTGGATATCTGGGAGCCAGGGAACAATGGTCATCTGGATGCAACGGCAAACGGACACGGACGCGTTCACCCTGCAGGAGCACAGGACTCACAACCGTTGATGTTTTGCTCCAAGGTGCGTCTGTGAAGGACCAGCAGCCACAAATTGCTCGCCATTCGTGCAGGCTTCCTTCCGTGCCGTCCCGGCACACTTCCCCACAGATTTGGTAACAAGGATCACACATCTGCAAGCCAATTCTTGCAGTCCGGTTCCCAGACACAGCCGCCTTCACACTGAACCCCAAAATGCGCTGCATGCCCTTGAACATGTACGAGAACGTCCGCCCGTTTTTCGGCGTGCAGGCGCGTCTCAGGACTTGCGCTCGCGGGCCCGGCACCCGCGCGCAGTTCCCAGCCCCTTACGTGTCTGGACCAAAGCTCTGAAAACTTCGTGCAGCTGCCGCCATCCTCCAGCGCCGACAGCAAGCCCTCCTGCAGGTCCGATAGCCGCATCCTTTGCCCAGCCGCCCCTCGCCGCGCTGGGGGCAATGGGGAGCGCGCATTGTCCCTGGCCGTTGGCGGGGTGCCAGAAATGCGGGTCAGTGACTCAATCATCCACGATGGGTGCCCTTTTTCGCAAATGTCTCCGCCAGTACATTGCTGACCGGCAATTGGTATTCGCGGCAGGCGTCGCCAAGGCCCGCAGGTGGGCTCGGCATTCCGCTGGCTGCGCCTTGCGATGGTGAGCATGGGTCTGGGCGTTCAGAACGGAGGTCCCGACTCCCGGAAGGAGGCCAAGCGACGGAAGGGAGAGAAGCGCAAACACGGGGCGGCTGTTGGCGGCGCGGCGGCTGATGCAGGCGGCCAATGCGGGGCGCCGCCGGATGGTCTGAACTCTGCGTTCACTTGCGTCGTTACCCTGGGGCTGGGCACAGGTGGTGATGGAGAGAACGGATTGAGCAATGGAGCAGCAGCTGGGACGGTGGCCGAGGGGAAGAGCAAGAGGAAGAAGCCGGTTGGTGACGCTGACAGCGGTGCGAAAGATCGCAAAAAGGGGAAGAAGAAGAAGACCAAAAACGGCGGAGAGAAAGAGGGCAAGGCTATTGAGGTCGCTCAGGCTGCAGTGGCAAGTGGTGTAGATGGGGGTAATTCGGCCAGGGAGCTGGCCAATGGCCAAAGAGTGCAAGACGAAGAGATAGCTGTGCCATCCAGCAAGAAGAAGAACAAGAAGAAGAAGAAGAAGAAAAAGGAAAGCCTTGCCGCGCAATTTGAATCTCCAAACGAAGGTCTTGCTAGTCAGGCCATGGACGCAGAACCTGACAGCAGCAAAGTTGCGGATTGTCCAGATGGGGTGGACAAGGAGGGGAAGAAAAGGAAGCAAAAATGTGCTGGTGACCTCGTATTGCCAATTGCGGAGGTCAAGTCGAAGAAATCGAAGGCGAAGAAGGCGAAGGCTTCAGCTCATGATGAAGGTGCTGCAGTCAATGTGCTTGACAGCAATAATAATGCTGCACTTTCAGCCGCAGGTATTGATTGCAAGCAACCAAAGAAGAAAAAGGCACGACCTGCAGCAGATGGCAATGAAAAGCAGGCTGCTGCGACATTCGATGCTGTTAGCGACTGCAATGGTGACAAAGAACCTGGAGAAAAGGGGGAAGAGACAACAAGCAGCAAGGCAAAGAAGAAGGCAAAAAAGAAGGACAAAAAGAAGAAATCGGGCGCTGGAATAGGAGACGTTGGGGACATCCCTGTATCGTCCAAGAAGCGACCTGCTGGAGAAATGGAACCAGAATATCACACATCACATCCATCCAAGTTGCAGAGGGTTGAGGGAATTGCAGAAAAGCCAATTGCTGCTGTGCAGTTGGAGGCTAATGGAGTGTCTGATGGAGACAGCAAGCAGCCTCAGTCATGGAAGGAGAAGCCAACCTCAGGTTCCAGAGCTTTTCGGCGAGTGGTCACAGAGGAGTGGCTGGGGACCAAGGGGGCAGTGGACAACTCCTACGAGGCAACATTTGGACAGGAGGGCTGGGGGGCCAAGGCAAACACCATTCTGTCTGCAGTTCGTGGTAAAGACTTCCGCCATGAGAAAACAAAGAAGAAGAGGGGAACGTATCGGGGAGGAAAGATCGACCTCTCAGCAGTACGCTCCTTCAAATATGACAGTGACTGACAGACGTGTAGGTGTTCACAAGGACATTCTGTTTTGCTGCATGGGTCAGCTGCTGTTTCATTCCGAATACTTTCGTGTTTCTGCCTATCTTTTTGCAGCCATTGTGCTTGCTATGCTCAGACTTTCTTCTGGTTCTTGAACTAGCACTTGAGCGGTGCTTGCAGCGATGCTATTGGTTTGTTAACGAGAATCAATTAGGACAGAACTGCGATATGAGATGGTTTTAATCAGTTCCGATCAAGGTTCACCCAAGAGCATCAGACGTGAGACCCGTCCAGCTGTGGGCGTGTGCATGCATGACAATGTAGAATAACGCCTCCGTGCAGATATTCTGCTGTACATAGTTTTTGTCCCATCTGTCCCTGTGCACAAGTAGAAAGCTTGCCCCAGCAATTGTGTCCGGCTCAATGTGGGTTTGGTTGATCAAGTTGTTACGCCTGCACTGGGAACGTCTCACCATAGCAGGACGAGGGCCATGTGTTATGTACTGGACCCACTTCGTAATTCCAAGACAGGTCAATGGCCCACAGTGGGGCTCCTTGGAAACCCTCTGTCCTGGCACCGTAGCGAAACTGGCTACAATTGCATTAGCCGTTCGTTAGGGGCAGTATCAGAAGACTTGCTGATGATTCTCCTGTGTTGATATGGGCAATGAATAGGCCACCCCAGAGATGCAAAACGGAGATAGCTATTTGACGGTGAGATGGTGAGGTGTAAACGCAGAAAATGATGTGTCTTGATCAAGCATCTTCAGGACACGCCCTAGCTCCCTTGCATGGCGACTGGCTGTTATGGCCCCTCCCTCACAAGCAGGATCCAGGCAGGATTGATTTGTTCGGTGACTCACCTGCAAGTTAGATATGGACATAGAACCATGCGCTTCCCCCATTCCCCCAGTCCCTGTACTATGTTGGGGACATCGTAGCCAATGTGGTACCATATCTGCAGATCAAAGCAGTTGTTGTACCACTTACTGCACGTGGTGAGGACAACTGGGCATGTTTTTTGTTCCATGATCATGCGACTATGTTTTTGTCTTTCCAAGCGACCCTGTCTTAGCTTGAAACGCGGCCGCAACTGCATGGGTCGGACAGGCCATTGATATGGCAGTGTTTTGTCCATGGTTGACAGATGTTTGTCTGACTATGAAGGGACATACCTGTCCGCCATCTCATTGTAACTCAGTTCCCTCAGCGCGTGGGCATGCCTGCCTCCGGCATAGTCCCAACCCGACTCTTGCATATTGGCATCTGCTGGCCTTTGGGCGGCTCAAGTGCTCAATGAGCCTTTGGGCTGCGGCGACCCCATGGGTACGGGAGGCGTTCATGACGGTCACGCGCAGGAAAGACAAGTCTGTCTCTCACGATCTGAACCCATCATTACAACTGAAGCGAGTGGTATTTGTAGTGCGATTGTGTGACGGTTCATGAGTTGCTGTCTCCAGAATACCCACTCTGGCCACTTTCGCGAGCTGGTCGGGTTCGTGTCCTTTTCTCATGCCAAGTTTCTATTCCCGCCGCCCAGACCAACTATGACCCATTGCCAACTAGCCCAGCAGCTACCCACGTACACTACCTGCTCCCACTCTCCCTCACTCCCTTTCTAACTCAGCTCCTATTCCCGCCGCCATCCCCAACTACGAACCAATCCCAAAGCCGTCCCCATTCGTTCACTACAGCCAATTCCCGTTAATTGGCTCCCCTATCGTACGTACAGCACCACTCCCCACACATCCTTTCCATTTCCCGAAAATGGACCGCCAAATTGGGGACATGTCTCCCCCCCGTGCTGACAAAAAACGGGGCTGCCCCCTCCCCACCCAGACCTCTGCCATCCCCGTTGGCCGCCGGGAACCGACGCTCCGCGCCCCCTTCTTCGGGGCACCGCCCGCGCATGTATCCCTACCCCTACCCGGCAGCCTCGCCCGCCGCCCCGGCGGCGCCGGCCCAGCCCCAACAGCCGCCCGCCGCGGGCCAGGCGCCGACGCACGCCCCCGCCCAGGCGCCGCCGGGCGGGCAGGCCTACCCCGCCGCTTCACAGGCGCCCCAGTACTATGACCCTTCCCTCTACCAGTCGCAGCCCGCGCAGATGAACGGTGGGCCAGCGTCCAGCACCCCGTCGGCCTATCCCCCGGTTCCGTACGCGCCAGCCGCGGCCCCCTCCGCGTCGCTGCCCGCGGTGGTGACGGCATCCGAACGGAAGCGGCCTTACGAGAACACGGGAGCCGGGCAGGATGGGAGGGAGCACAAGAGGCCGCAGGTGGAGGCGAGCAACGGCGCAGACCGGGAGACGGTTTACAGGATTTTGGTGCCCGCCAGCAGGGTGGGCGCGGTGATAGGGAAGCAGGGGGCGATCGTGAGGGAGATCCGGCTGCAGACCAAGTCGAGGATCCGGGTGTGCGAGGGCGTGCGGGAATGGGAGGAGCGCGTGGTGGTGGTGTCGGCCAAGGACGCGTCCAGGGAGGACACCAACCAGGCGCAGTGCGCGCTGATGGAGGTGCACAAGCGGGTGCTGGACGCGCGGCAGAGCGTGAAGCCCGAAGGGGAGGGCGAGGCGGCCAACCCGGGCCAGCTGTCCACCAGGATGCTGGTCAACCGCACGCAGGCGGGCAGCATCATAGGCAAGGGGGGCTCCATAATCAAGAACATCAGGGAGACCACGGGCGCCAGCGTCAAGATACTGCCCCCAGAGGACCTACCCCCTTGCGCACTGCTCAACGACCGGGTCGTCCAGATCACCGGGACCACCGAACAGCTGACAGCTGGGGTGGTGATGGTGGCCAGGCAGATCAGGGACAATCCCCCAAAGGAGATGCCCGGCGGGCCGCCCCCGTCTGTGCCTGTCCTGAACGAGTTCTATACCTACCCACCAGCCGCCTACCCTCCACCCCAGCCCCTCCAGTACCCTCCGCATCCCCACCAAGGGGTTCCGCCGCCAGCGCCAGTCTACCAGCCCCCAGTGCCGAGCTATGCGCCTGCTTACGCTCCTCCTATGCAGCCTGCGCAGCCTCAAGTGCAGCCGCTCAAGGTCACGCCCCCTGTTCCTGCCCCTGCCCCCCCCCTCAGCCTGCAGCCACAGTGGCGCCATATCCATACCCGGCGCTTCCTGCAGGCCAGGTTTATCCATCGGGCCAGCAGTATCAGCAGCCACCCCAGCCAGCCCCAGCTGCTGTGGCCCAGCCGCCAGCCTATGGAGCACAGGCAGCCCCCCAGCAGACAGCCCAGAGCACTGCTGCGTACTACGGCCAGGCAGGGTACCAGACTGGCTACCAGACCAGCTACCAGTGAGGAAGACGCTTGTCAGATGTAGGTCCGCAGGCTTTCAGTGGATTGGAGCATCGCTGTTTGAAGATGCATTCTTGCACTCTTCGAGAGTCAGGTTTGTGGATTTCGAGCTGGAACTGAGTGCCTCATGAGTGAAAAGTAGACGTGGCATTGAGAATGTGCGCTAGGTGACTGAATACACAACAACATGCACTGTGTTGCTGAAGGGTTGTGAATGTTGAGAAAGCCAGCAGCACTGGAAGGATGCTCAGATTGTCACATGACACACTTTTGAATCCAGTGAAACTTGGAACTGATGTGACACCAGTGTACAGTCTTTTCTTAGTTCTGCTGTGGGATGCCTGGGGTATCTTCATGGTTCATTTGCGGTCAGTCAGCTATTGGCATGATTCTAGCATGGTTGTTTTGAAGATGTGGATTGTATGTACGTGCGGGTGTGATGTGCATTGTGAGGCAATCATTCTGGACAAACCTTGTGTGGTGGCAGCACACTTCAGACAATTGGCACTGAACTTTGATACTGGATATTATTGATCTTTGTTTGAGAGAACCTGCTCCCAGCCATCGCCTCTGAATGACAACAGGGTGACAATCTGATCCTGCTGCACACTCGAGCAGAATGAACGGAGGAAGTGTGTCATTTGCGAGTCTGTGGACTGTAGAAATTGAATTCTTGCATCAATGCCAAGCAGCTGCTCATATAAATGACATTCGCATGTCATTTATGTATGTAAAGTGCACCTGGTGCAGTGCCATTACCGGTGCAGAGCTGCAACCCAGGATTGTCTGTGCAAACCCTGTGCACCCATGTGAATGGCACTTGTGCATGTGTGTCAGCACACACTGTGCATGTCTGTTGTCCAACAGTTGGTGTACCTGCTATCCACGCGCTTGTCATGCCATGCCGATCCAGTCACAGTTGCCAATTGCTTTGGTACCTGTGAGTGCCAGGCGGTGAAATCGAAGTTCTCCAGCATGGGCACAGCGTTTGGAATGTGTGATACAGTGCAGAAAGACAGTTTACAAACACGACCATTTGGATGCTGTTTGTCCCAATATGCTGCAGAGATAGGGCAAGTATGCAAGAGACCATCGCGGAGACAACAGAGAGCTCCTTGTTGTGTAGATATGAGCCATACAGTACTGCCTTCAGCACCTGATGCGAACAAACACAACTGTACCAATAGCAGTCGAATTCGATCTGGCCATTGGACCTTCGACTGTGGGGGCACCAGCAGAATGCACACTGTCCAGCGGATTTGTGAAGCATGGGGATGTGACTCGTAATCACTGTACCTTGCTCTGTGTGGCATGCACTGGTGAAGAGTTTGTGTTGCGTTTGCTTACACAGACAACCCTGCACCCATAGGCACTGTTTTAGTGCCTGAGTGATGCTTGCAGCTTGAAGCTGTTCTTTCCTTGGCCCTGGTGCGGTGAACTGCCCTGTGTCCACTGTTGACCCAGCCAAGGATGGGGTGTGCCCTTGCTGATTCATGATGGTGATTCCACAGACAACGTGAGTTACAGCTCAGCAAGCAGTTGGTGGTGGGGTTGTATCCAACTCGTATCAGTAATGCCATCAGGTTGGACTACGAGCCACCAGGTTTGAGCTCCTGATGAGATGTTAACAGCCTGATGGCTATGCATCCAACATTTGGACAGGATTTGACAGTTGTACCTTGGTCCCATCCCTATAGCTGGGACCCAACACATGCGATCGATCAATATAGTCACTGGCGATATGCAGCCTTCATCTGGCGATACTTCAGCAAAAACAGCGAGAACGCCTTGCAGATTTTGCTGTTATTCTGGAGGTCGTAAAAGCCGTAGAACAATGCGCACAGCTGGCAATTTTGAAGAGTTGTTGTACATTCACTGTGAAACCACGTGGTTACGAATCCCCTGAAGCTTGGGAGCATTGCTGCATGTTTTGTAATGACTTGTGGATCGATTCTGTGTGAGATGTCATGTTGCAAACGTCGTGGCGTTTTGTACGGCGGTATTTGTGAGGGCGAAGAAAGTAAGGAAGTAATTATAAAGGAAATGGCATTAAATGTTATAAATATGGTGTGGTTGGACAAGGTGAACATGGGGTTATAATATGGTGAAATGAATATGGAGATAAGGTGGTTACTAAGTGAGAGCATTTGCAGTGTTTGCTATTTGACTAGTGTGCTTGTCTTGTAATGCATCTGGTTACAGCCTTGCTTCCCGTGCCTGGGAGCGACCGTGTGTGAGCGTCTTCCAAACGCCTTCTGTTACACATATATTCAACTCCATACCAATAATGTTGAATCTGGTACCAAACTACTGCCATACCAAATAACATTGAAACCAGCACCAAAGAATATTGAATCTGGTATGAAACTGCCAACATACCAAACAAAATTGAAACTAATACCAACAAATATTGAATCTAGTACCAAATTCGCGCCTGTACCAAAAACGTTGAACGGTGTGAAAGAAATTGTTGAATCAGTACGAATTACTCATCAAATGGCAGTCTGCAACCAGCCCTGCGACTAGCATTGGGCAAGCCCAATGCTTGCTCTTGGTTTAGGGCTTAGGAGCCCTTATGGCAGTGGCGATTTGATGACTAATTGGTAATGGTTCAACATGTTTTGGTACATTGTTCAACATTTGTGGTACCGGCGCGAATTTGGTGCCAGACTCTATATGCATTGGTACTAGTTTCAATTTTGTTTGGTACAACGGCAGTTTGGTACCAAATTCAATATTATTTGGTATGGAGTTAAATAGGTTTCCTTCAATTATCTTCATATTACTAACTACCATTGCGCCAAAATTGTGTGCCAGGAAGGGGGCTGATTGTTGTTTTGGTGTTGTCATGTGTATGACGCCCAATACCTGAATTTTTGATGCAAAACAGAATGGTTGAAGGTCGTTCATATTGGGACAGTCGAAACTCTTGGAACACAAGGCGATGAAGAGACATGGCCTGTTTGTTTTGGTGGATGTCTGCCTTGGCACCTGCAATTTGGCCGCTAGTTGTGCATCATGCATAGACCTTCGATACGACGGCTACCCTCCAAAGCCTGGAGGAATGCTAAGAAAATTGACTTTGTGTACGTTCAAGCGCTTGACGCATTTTTTGGAATTTTAATTGACGTTTTGTTGACCATTCGATTGGAGACAAGACTGGTACAGTGTGTGGCCCATGTTCCTGTGTGCTCCAGCTGCCATGCAAGCTCCCACGCTTCGAGGGTTCTATGTGAATGTAGTCTTGTCTAGTTAGCTCCATTCGTTTTGTGCCCCCTGCTTCGCCTTGTTGCACTATTTCGGCATGGTTTCAGCATTCTTTTGTGACCATCAGAGAGCGTTTCAGATAAATGTGTTGCATTTCTAGTATGTTTGCAACGAAAGCCACTACATTGCACATTATGCACACACCACCATCGCCCACCTGCCAAGGAATAGCCCCTTGCTGTGAGGGCTACATTGGCGACCAGACATCCCTGGTGTGGAAGTGGGAACCTCGGGTCAATCTTACTGTTTTGATTAGATATCTTATCGTGGACTGCCCCCCGCTCCGCACCACTGTCATCAGGCACACTCCCTGGCATGGACTGGACTGGTTAACGTGCGAATTCATGCATGTTGTTCTTCATGTACATTCTTCGCCTGACATGGTGACAACGACTGTGTGCCTATCTCAGGCCCAATTTGCATCTGGCGTGCTTCCAACAATGTATGGGTGGGGGTGGGGGTGGGGGTGGGGGGAGAGAGAAGCAGGGAGAAAATGTCTGCTGCACCCACCTATCAAACTAGCACTATATGAGCATTGTGTCAGTGCCAATTGCCATACAGCGTCAGCAAGGCCAATGGTGTCTAACCCGCTGCTGCAGAAGATCCATTGCCATGCGGCAGGACAAAGATTGTTTTGCAACTGTACAATGGGCACCGCTCTCCCGAGCAGCAAACGATAGAGCTGATTGTCCATGCTCTGTCGTGTGTGATGCAGATGTCTCCACTGGACACTACTGCACTTGGCAAGTGCAAGACAAGTCCAGCGCAGAGGCAGCGCCTTGCACACTCGCCCTCTCACACCAGCTACTATGTACCTTGAAGTTTGATCACTACGTTCTGGGAACGAAATTCCCGCATGTCAGTCGAGGCCGTCCTGTACCTTATGGGAACGTAAGCTGGCACCTGTCCACACCCACAGCATCTGATGTCCGTGCTTTCCACCAGCGAACAAATGCAGTCAAATGAATAACACACAACAGTAAAGAAATTCAACGTTTCTGACTAAGTGCGTGACGACCATGGCTGCGCTCATTGAGGCATGGAGCGTCGGCCATGGGACTGCAGCCAGTGTAGCAAAGGATGTGCGGCCTTGTTTTACAAAGCCACAAGTACGTCTTCACCTAATGCCACGCACCGCTGCCACCCATCCACACCCCCAAGCCACGTCGTTCCAAGCCGGCACTATGATGTTTAGTAGACACTGTTTACCGTTTCAATCCAAAACATTCAGTGCCTGATAGTGGACGCATTAGTCAACGGGGCGAATTGAGATATCAGAATCATGCTTCTCTGGGCAATTCTTCACTCAGTGAAATACATCAGCATGGTGAAACATTTCATTCCTCCATAACCACGCCCTCTTGCCCGGAGCGCATTGCCCAGAAATTTTAGGAGCCCTGAGGAGACCCTTCGCCAGCGTCCCTCCTGCACGCTGGCACGTCTCCTGGCAGCAAACTCTGAGAACCAGGCTGTCAAACAATAAACACACACGCACGCATTTATATTCACGCAGATGTATGCGCACGCCTATCAGACTGTGCATCAATGATTAAATCGGATACCATGGTTCAGGCACCTGCACATGGTTGTGTATAGGCAGCGCATCGCATCGAAGCAAACGTACTTTGAGCTACACTACAATAACATATCAATGGCAAATTGTTTGTAGCAGAGGTGAATAATGCAACAAAAAATTCACTATGTGTCTTCTGCACTGGCATTCCCACCGAAAAAACATGCAAAATATTGCGCCACTCAAGTATTCCTGTTGGAGGGACCTGGAGGCAGAGCCGAAGAACAGGGGCACGGCGTCGGTTGTGAGACGCGCACCCCGCTGACGGCCCAACGCGAACGCCGGCCTTGCTCCGCCCCTGCCGTACGGACGCCCGCCACGGGGACGGACGCCTTCCCTGCCGGGCGCCTCCGAAATGGCCTCGCCGGCGGGCCGCCCTGCGTAGCCAAGGACCAGGCGCCCGCCATCCCGCCGGAGCCGGCGATGGATGACGGCCAGGAGCGGCGCCCGCGGCTCCAGGAGCTGTACGATGTGGGCTGGAGGACGTTCGGCCGGCGCGGCGGCGGCGCGCCCTCGCGGGAGGAGGTGCTGGCCGTGCTGGGCGCCCTGCGGGAGGTGCCCATTGAGGAGGTGGGCCTCCCCGGGCCCCTGGGCCGGCGCGGGCGGTCGGCCCGCTCCATCACCTACCTCCCCGTGAAGGAGGACCGTCGCCTGCACCTGGGCGTGTTCTGCATGCCTCCGCGCGCCACCATCCCGCTGCACGACCACCCCGGGATGACGGTCCTGTCGCGCGTGCTGTATGGGCGCGTGCGCATAACGTCGTACGACTGGGCGGAGGGGGCCGGCGGCGGGGCGGGCGGGGGCGCCGCTAGGCGGGTGGCTGACGAGGTGCTGTCCGGGCCCACCGGGACCAGCCTGCTGACGCCCGTGCACGCCAACGTGCACTCCCTGGAGGCGCTGACCGCCTGCGCGGTGCTGGACGTCTTGGCGCCACCCTACGCCCCCAGCAAGGGCCGGGACTGCACGTACTTTAGGGAGTGCCCCGGGGGGGACGCTGGGCAGGGGGACGTGCTGCTGGAGCCCTGCGAACCGCCGGCGGACTTCGAGGTGCAGAGGGGAGAGTATCGGGGGGTGGTCATCGAGGGCTGAAAGGCCGCACCAAGTTACGCGGCCCCACACGCCCGGTGGGGTATTGGGTAGAAGGGTAGGTCTTCGAGGTTGACAGTTTGTATTGGCTGAGCGGGGCATCGCGGGCCTTTCCTATAAGGGTAGTGGCGTTGTGATGCGTCTGGGAGGCGACTGGGGTGCCCAAGGAATGCTGTGCGGTTTGGGGGGATGCGCCCTGCCCGGGTGGTGGACCCTGGCGTGCCTGTATGTTGAAGAGTTTTAATGTATATTGTGGTGGACAGCAGTGGAGGTGAAACGACAAGATTACAAGCAACCCAGTGATCCTATGTGGTCTTGTGCAATGGGGCTTCTTGGAGTGAGGGTCTCTGTCAAGTTGTACGGTGTTGAGGATGGAAATTGTCTGCCCTGAGCGATGCCTGAGCAACGGAACAGAGCCATGTGGCAAGCGTGGCCCATGGCTCCCTTGCATACAAATATTACAAAACACCCCTTCAGCCAGGCCCACACAGGATGGAATGCAAGTACATGAGATCTGACATTGCTCTAGGGGATAGCTGCTATGTTCATGACGTGCTGGGGAGCCAGAATGACTTATGCCAGCAACCTGCAACAATCGGTGCTGCAGTGCTCTTCCTGCCATCGAGACACCAGATTGACAAAATGAGCGTCGAGTCACTGCACAATGACTTTTGCCTCAGGCCTCACCTTGAAATTATTCAGGTCCCAAGTGCAGCACTCTTGTGGGTTCGTGCATGCTTGCCCTACAAGCTGTGATGCTCATGTCTCCCCAAATGATCTGTCTTGAACGTGGGATGGACAAGTAGTTGTAGAGTATTTGGAGTGTGTGGACACACTAGTGGAATTAGCTGTCTGTGCTTTTCCTCTTAGCTCCCCTCCATAGGGCGTCCTGTGGACTGCTTGGGATTTCTTTTCACCTTCAACAGCTGAAATGCCAGGGACCAATGGCACCCTGCGCAAGAAAAAAACATTGATTGGCTTGCCCAAGGACCTTGTGTCTGAGTCGATTGCCAAGTTGAAACTTGGGTCGTCTCCCTGTCGACTAGAGGAAGCCATCTGAAGGGTTCATTGAAACGTGCTGACATCATCACTATTGCAACGACAGTTCAGTGGCTTGTATTTGACAAACAACATTCCTTAAAGAAACCTCGCTTGATGACAGCAGCCAGTCCTTGCTTTTGGAAGATGGCGTTGGCTTGAACATGCAGTGAAGATGAATGCTCTTAAATGATTTAAACCCAGGTTTTGGTTTCAACGTGCAATTGTTGGCAGAGAAGGTGATGAAGTTCCTTGGTATGCGTTTAGTGATGTGAACGGGTGCCCATTCTGACATATTGCAAAATGGGCTGTAAATTGGCTCCTTTCAAGCTTCGCTTCTGTCACAGATTGGCTCAATTGGTAACAGCCTGACTGGCCTGTTTGTTGACGATCAAAATAAGGATTGACAACGGATCACCATAGACCAGACGAGTCACAAAATCAGACTTGCAACTCCATTTTTTGGACAATGCACTGATGTGCGCGATCAGCTATACAATGTTAAGTACAGCTGCACCTGAGGAAATAGCTGCCTGGTGTCTTCGTCATGTTGATGACACACAGGACTTGTCCCGTTCACACTGCTGAGGAACTTTAGACCGGCTGAGGAAGAGCTGAAATGAAACCGTACATCGACCAACCAGAACCGTTTCGACTCGCCGAAGGTTGAACAGGGCCAGCCTCAAGGCAACGAACTTGGTCTATTGATACTATCTAAAACGTTTGCAAACGTTCAGCCAGCTGACAGAGACGTTTTCCCAATTTAATACAGGTCCAGCGAGGGATTGTGGTTCAGCGACACCGTTCAGAATACAATTCACAACATGACCACAGGCAACTCAAGTTGGTCAACCCTTCATCCCACTGTCCAGGGTTTGGCGACCCCTTCACGTCATCCCACAACTCACAACACGCGATTCAAGCCCCTTGGAGGGTGTTGGTGCTTGGTTGTGTAACAATGGCACCCGTTTGCACTCACATGTTCAAAGACAAAGAATGTTTTACAACTTTGCTTGTCCACAATGGTCCCGTCCTCGCTCCCAACAACCCACCGGAAGCAGGCAAATCTCAGCACCTTGAATATTGAAAGCACCCCAAGGTTTTGGGAATACCCCCAATTTCTAAGGATGCCACCCCAAAACCACCGAGTATTCCCCATCAACGTCCCAGGTGCACCACAACTAACAGGTATTGTTGGCTTAGGGTGCCTCCGCTTTTTGATCTTCGGACCCGCCTCACCGGGAACCTAGAGCTCTTGGTGAGGAAATTTGGAAGCCATTAAGAAGCTATGACAATCTGAATGCTCGTGCCTTGGTAGTGGCTATAGATAAAGTACAACAACCCAAAATGGGGTACGATGGTCGACCTCTCATGGAGAGTGTACTGGCAGTGATGCATTTTGATCAACATATCCAATCAATACTAAAAGAGGCTACGTCATATTTAGAGAGAGCACAGAACAGGCAATTGAAGCATGTTGACCACCACAGGCGTGATATAGTGTTTGGAAAACGCGATAGTGTCCTTTTGTCAACACAACACATCACCCTGGAAAATACTGGTACTCAAAAACTATTACTAAGGTGGATTGGGCCCTTCACCATGCTCAATTGGGTAGGTCATTTGGCATATCGCCTTGACCTACTGGAAAGCATGCATTGGATACATCCAGTTTTTTATGTATCAAAGTTAAAGTTGCATAAGGCTAGTGGCCAAGTATAGCCACCACTAGCCCCTGTTGAGATTGAAGGGGAACTGGAATATGAGGTTGAATGTATTCTTGATAAAAGATTAACAAGTGTAATTGCACAAGAGATTTTGTTGAAGATTCTATTGGATATCTTGTTACATGGCTCAGTTATGGATATGAGCACAATAACTGGGAACTAACAAAATAAGTTACAAATACATAGGAGTAAGTGCAAGCACTTGACAATAGCTAAACTCCTGCAGCAAATGTGCAAACTATGCAATCTCATCACCGGAAAAAAAGTAAGCACTAAATGATTGTTTTTTGTGTGTCTATGCTTATGCCAGAACATGTTTCAGTGGGCGCACAACACAACCCCCTACTAGGGAGGATGCTCAACAACCCAGTATGGGAAGATCACAGCACTGTCCCTCGATGTGTTGTACGGCGGACATATCCTAGCCGGGGAGTTTGTTCCACCCCTTCCATGAGCACCATCTAGTCAAGGCCGGGGAGCCCAAAACAAATGGCCCTACGGTAGCTGTAGGTGCCCTGGGAGCGGAAGGAGCCATCGGGGACATGGACAGGGTAGAGTGAGTGAAGTTGGGCATGTTCTTGAGTAGGCTCCGAACAATCAGCTGAAAAACGCCATGCAGACTTGAATAACCCCACAGGATGCTATAGCTATCCAGGTATGAATAGTCATGTTATAAACTACTCCTATACATGTATTTAGGATGGGGACATCCCACCTCCTTGAGGGGTTCAAAATATTACACATGTGCCTAGCGTGGGGGATGCTCTACCTAGGACCTATAGTTGGAACTGGTGTAGGGGATACCCAATTCTTTCATAATAACTCCCCTAACCCAATATATGGTATACATAGCAGTTAGGGGTGGAGCCACTTGGTGGCCTGTATGCCACTATGTCGGCCTCCCTTCGGGCCCCCGCCGTCGCGAGGGGGCCTCCGATGCGCGTGGTGGTTAGCCGCTCGATGCTCCGCCTCCGCCGGGTCCGAATCGTCGGACTGCGCGTGCTGGGCATGGCGCTCGTGGCGGTATGCTCGGGAACAGGCGGACTCGCGGGCTCCGCCGGCCAGGTCGGCCGAGGTCGCGGGGTCGGGTCGCGGGCGCAGTTTGCTTGCGCGAGAAAGGATCATTACTACACCGCACTCACCACATAAGTACGGTGGTAAGCTCGTGGGCCACCGGTGCGGAAAGAACTCGTGTCATGGCACCCACACCGGTGCCTTAGTGTACTGTCATTGTACCCATACACTTCATATTCTAGTAATAAATGTCCTGACCGTTCATAATCTGATAATCACTCCCCCTTTGAGTATTTTCGTCCCGAAAATCAAATCATGAACCACCACTCGATCCACCCGTGTCCTCTATTGGTTGGTCCCTCTCAATCATCATTGGAATATCCTCGGGAGGTTTAATTTCTGTCTCCGGTACCCAAGTAGCGTCCTCAATCGGCCAGCCAAGCCACAAGATAAGAAACTCACGAGTCCTCCTATTTCCTACCCGAACATATCGCCACCGGAGCAACTTTTCAATTTCGTACTCGTCATCCGCCATCTCAATTTCCGGAACAGGAGCCTGCTCACATTGATCCCAATCACTGTCACGCCATGCCTTGAGTAGGCTCACATGAAACACGTCGTGGATACGCCAGTCATCAGGAAGCTGCAATCGGTAGGATTGGGTACCAATCCGTTCGATGATACGGAAGGGCCCCACAAAGCGTCTCCGCAGCTTTGCCGGTGTTCCACGCATCCGAAGGTTCGTAGTGGATAGCAGAACAAGCTGATCCACTGCGTAAGTCTCAGGGCGGTGACGACGATCATAATATTTCTTGTGTTGCTCGTTCGCCCGGTGGAGATTGTTCCGCGCCTTGGTAAAAGTTCGATGCAGGCGCTGAGCAAAGCTAGTCACTGTCTCAACAGGAGAACTGTCAGTCCCTCTGATCAGCTCATTTGGAGTCACTGGGTGATATCCATAATTCAAAAAGAAAGGCGTGTACCCCGTGCTCCTATTTGGCTGGCTGTTCACACTAAATTCAACAATGGGTACCAATGAATCCCAATCACGAGGCTCTCCCAATTCATGCACAGTGCAACGCAGTGTTTGTTCAAAAATTGCGTTCATTCTTTCTACCAACCCTTGAGTCTGTGGGTGGTAGGCACTGCTGAACCTCAAGTCAGAACCAACCAATTTCCAAAGACTTCGCCAGAAAGCACTGGTAAATCTGCGATCACGATCAGAGT